GTCAGAAGCTTGGATCTGCTGCACGGTCTTCAGCCGACCCTGCACAGCACTACTGTTGCCACCAGAGTCAGCATCACCCCAGGTCACAAGCGACCCATCGCCAAGGACGGCAGCAAAAGCAGCAGCAGAGGCTTGAATCTGCTGCACATGCTTCAGCTGACCCTGCACAGCACTACTGTCGCCACCCCACCAGGCATGACCCCAGGTCACGACCGATCCATCACCACGAATGGCAGCAAAAGCGCCGCCACTGGCTTGGATCTGCTGCACATCCTTCAGCTGACCCTGCACAACACTACTGTCGCCACCAAAGCTAGCAGAACCCCAGGTCACGACCGATCCATCGCCAAGGACGGCAGCGAAGGCGCTGCGAGTGGCTTGAATTTTGAGTCCGTTTACGTGCAATCTCAGCGAGCTCCCATTCTGAATCCCGGTGTTTATAATCGTTTTGCTTCCATCCAGAACAACTCCGGAAGAGTCCAGCAGCCGCCCTTTCGCGGCTCCAAGTGCAATCTGCGCTCGTCGGCTCAACGTCTGCACAGTTTCATCCAGGCCTGCTGTGACAGTTGCTGTTTTGCCACTGAGCAGTCCAATTTCTACTTCAATCGACATGCCAGGCTCCCTGAAGCAAATAGAACTCAAGAGCACGGCCTGAACGTAGGGTCTTCAACAAAGAAAATGCAATTTCCTGAAAGTCTGGCTTATATCTACACTTCACGAACCCAATCCTCGAACTAGAACATGGCTTGGGATCCCTTTCGCTCCCTTGCCGTCTTGATGCACACTTGACACTTGTCTCTTCAAGCTTGCTCCTTTTTTGTCCGCCCTCTCTCTCTCTCACTTAGGTTCCGCTAGTGTCGCTCACTCGTGTTCCTCCCACTTCAACTCTACGATACACCAAACTCTGATTCTAACATCTTGCTGTCAGAGTTGTTTCCGAAACGACCTGCTCAGTAGGCTTTGGAAACCACAAATCACCCAATTCACCAAGGACTCTACTGCATGGGTACGACAGGTACAGGTACCGCAGTGAGTGGGAATTCTGTTTTCCAGCAATCCTTTCTGGTTCAATGCAGCTGCGAGCACGACTCCAGCACGACTGCGCAAAGGGCCAACATTCATAGCAGTTTTAGGAAGTTGGATTTCTCTTCAAACTCCTTCGGCTGCAGGCGGACAAACTGACAGGTGGTATGTTGTACTCTACTTATCATAAGGTACCCCGAAATAGTATAAGCGATTAGTTAGGCCCCTA